AAAAAAAAAAAAAAAAAAAAAAAGAGTGCTGGCTGCCTACCCAACATTCTCCCCTTCTCCCTTAGTGTCAGAACCCCTTTGTTATTAAGGGTAGATACGTATCCAGCAAATAAGCCACATCTCCCAGCCTCCATTCCAGGTAGGGGAGGGTGGTTGCTGAGATGGAAGCAGAAGTCATTGGGTAGGGCTTTTGGGGAAAGCTATTTAAAAGTGCCCTTTTGGCTGAGTGTGGTGGCTCATGCCTGTAATCCCAGCACTTTGGGAGGCCGAGGTGAGCGGATCACGAGGTCAAGTAATTGAGACCATCCTAGCCAACATGGTGAAACCCTGTTTCTACTAAAAATACAAAAATTAGCTGGGCATGGTGGCGCACGCCTGCAGTCCCAGCTACTTGGGAGGCTGAGGCAAGAGAATTGCTTGAACCTGGGAGGTGGACGTTGCAGTGAGCCGAGATGGCGCCACTGCACTCCAGCCTGGGGGACAGGGCAAGACTCCGTCTCAAAAAAAAAGTGCCCATTTGCTCTTCTCCCCTTTCTTCTGTTTTCCCTTCCTCAAACACAAAATTGGCAGCTAGAGTGCCAATAACCATATTGTAGCAAACCTAATATTGGAAACCATTTGTTAAGGATGGCAGAGCAGAAATACAGCATCTGAGAATCTGATGACCTGTCCTACTAGCCCTGGACCCCATAATACTATTTTTCTTTTATGTGGTGGAAAAAATAAACCTGCTTCTCATTTAAGCCATTGTTACTTTGAGTGGCTCTTCCTAGCAGCTGAAGGTAATTCCTTACTAATACCAGCCGGCCTCAGTAGTTTCACAGGTGCTTCTCTTCTAGCAATCCAAGACGTCATCCTCCTCTGGTGCATAAGAAAATCCCAGGAATGCAGTTGAGGCCCCAGAGCTGCTGGCCACAGTGTCAGGGATACAGCCAATGGACTTGGACACAGCTTCCTGGGTGAACTCTGGGTCAAAATGCTTCAAGTCAGCAGGTCCTGCCTGTCAATAAAAGCCAACGATGAGAAGACAACACCAGGGTCAGAGCTGCCAAAGGAGCCCAAATCCTCCAAGAGGGGTGTCAGGCCTCTCTGAGTGTATCATGCTACATAGTCATCCGTACTTAACTGTCACTTTCCTGTGCATTTACATTAATCATTTGATTCCTCTCACCCCCTGGCATTCTGCCTCAACACCAATCCTTAGATAAATCAGTTAATCAACATACACTTAGTGAATGCCTACCAGGCACTGTTTATGGCACTGGGAACACAGGAGAACAAGACAAAGTGAGCCCCTGCGTTCATGGAGCTTACATTGTGTAGGGGAGTAGGAGGATTGGTAATGAGCATGTTTACAAATAGATAACTTAGGATGGCTATAGGTCCTATGAAGAAGATAAAATAGGGTAATATGGCAGAGATTAACGGAGGCTGCTCTTGCTATTTTGGAGGAAGACCTGTGAGGGGATCACAGAAATGATCACAAACTCCCCACTTCCCATCCAGAGGTGGAATCTATTTCTCCGTTCCTTTAATAGAAGTTAGCCAAATGACTTGGTTAGGCCAACAGGACATTACCAAATATGACACAAGCGGAGGGTTAAAAAACGCAGGTCAGGAGTTGCTCTCTGGCTGTACTTCTAACCCTGAGGCCACCGTGTGAACAGTCCCAGACTAGCCTGCTGGAGCGTGAGAGGCTTCATGAAGAACTCCGTTGCCCTGGCTGCCTGCCAACTCAGGCATGTGAGTGAGGCAATTCTAGATCAACAACTGCCAACTGTCCTGCCAGCTGATCACAGACATGAGAGAGCTCCACAGAGACCAGCTGGCCTGGCCCAGACTTTAAAAACCACATAGAATCTGAACAAAAAAAATTTTTTTAAGAGACAAGGTCCTTTTTGCTCTGTTACCCAGGCTGGAGTGCACTGGCATGATCATAGCTCACTATAGCTTCAACATTCCAGACTCAAGTGATCCTCCCACCTCAGCCTCCTGAGAAGCTGGAACTACAGGCATGCAGTACCACACTGGGCTAATTTTCTATTTTTCTGTAAAGATGGAGTCTCGCCATGTTGCCCAGGCTGATCTTGAACTCCTGGCCTCAAGAGATGCTAATGCCTCAGCTTCCAAAAGTGCTGCGGTTACAGGTATGAGCCACCATCCCTGGCCAAGAGATCGTTGTTTTAAGCCACCTAGCTTTGAAGTGGCTTGTTATGCAGCAAGAGCTAACCAATACAGTCTCTCTGTGGAGGAGGCCCGGGTTTTATGAAGTAAGCAGGTAAGTAAGGAGAAGGGCTTGTAAATCTGCTTTAGTGTGCAGATTTGAGCACTGGATCAGATTGGATACACTTGGTCTGTGTAACCAAACAGATACAGTTTTCAGATTCTAAATAAGGCTACGAGACAAGGCAGTCCCAGCCCAGGACTCAGAGTTCCAAGAGCAGAATGTGCATCCTGACCTTAGAAGAAAATGATACTAAGGCAACTTACTCAAGGCCTCACAAGTATTAGGTGACAGAATCAGGCATACAGCTCCAGAGTGTCTCATTCTAAAGTCTATGCATCTCTGCCTAGTATTCCATGTCTGGTTCTCTCTCCAGGGTGTACACTTGACATTACCTTCACTGTCTTTTTAAAATCCCAAGGAAAAGAAGCTTTTCTGGTGCCTGACCTGAGTGTAACCTATCTGATCCAGTGCTCAAAGACACGTTCATGAATAGGTAATTCACCAAAGGAGAAATGTAGATGGTGAATTAACATTGGCAGTGTTTGGTATGCCGGCTGTTTTGATCGAAGAGGCTTGACACCTCACTTTACAGGTTGACAACACAATCTCACACGTCTACCTCAAATAGGACTCCTTTCATTCATACTGCCACTGCTAATTAACATTGTAAAACTAGCACTTTGGGAGACAGAGGCAGACAGATCACTTGAGGTCAGGAGTCCAGACTAGCCTAGCCAACATGGTGAAAACCCATCTCTACTAAAAACACAACAACAAAATTAGCCAAGTGTGGTGCTGAGCACCTGTAGCTACTCAGGAGGCTGGGGTATGAGAATTGCTTGAACCTGGAGAGGCAGGGGTTGCTGTGAGCTGAGATTGCGCCACTGCATTCCACCCTGGGCAACAGAACAAGATTCTATCTCAAAAAAATAAAAAAGCCAGGCGCAGTAGCTCAGGACTGTAATCCCAGCACTTTGGGAGGCTGAGGAGGGCAGATCATGAGGGCAAGAGATTGAGACCATGGTGAAACCCCGCCTCTAAAAAATAAATAAACAAATTAAAAAAATTAAAAAAGAACCTAAAAATGGCTGGGCTCGGTGGCTGATGCCTGTAATCCCAGCACTTCGGAGGCTGAGGTGGGTACATCACTTGGGGCCAGGAGTTCAAGACCAGCCTGGCCAAAATGGTGAAACCCTGTTTCTACTAAAAATGCAAATATTAGCCAGGCATGGTGGTACATGCCGATAATCCCAGCTGCTCAGGAGGCTGAGACATGAGACTTGCTTGATGTGAGATTGTGCACTTCAACCTGGGTGGCAGAGAAAGACTCTGTCTCAAAAAAAAAAAAAAAATCCAAAAATGTTAGCATTGACACTTCCCCATCTGGAGTCCATCTTAAGGAAATGACCAGAATTCTGGGTAAAGACATATACTTAAAGCTGTTCGTCAGCACATCATGATAAGAAAAAACATGGTAACAACCATATGATTGCCATTATGGGGGAGTAAACTATGCCACCAACATAAGATTGAAATATTATTCAGCCACTAAAAATTATATTTATGGCCGGGTGTGGTGGCTCATGCCTGTAATCCAAGCACTTTGGAGGCCAAGGTGGGCAGATCACCTGAGGTCAGGAGTTCAAGACCAGCCTGACCAACATGGTGAAACCTCGTCTTTATATTTAAAAAAAAAAAATTATATTTATAAAATTTTTGGCCGGGTGCGGTGGCTCAAGCCTGTAATCCCAGCACTTTGGGAGGCCGAGGCGGGTGGATCACGAGGTCAAGAGATCGAGACCAACCTGGTCAACATGGTGAAACCCCCGTCTCTACTAAAAATACAAAAAATTAGCTGGGCATGGTGGCGCGTGCCTGTAATCCCACCTACTCAGGAGACTGAGGCAGGAGAATTGCTTGAACCTGGGCGGCGGAGGTTGCG